CATTCCTAGTGAGAAACACTGTGTGGTAGGTCCAGCTGTCTCGATCAGCTGCTCTCTTCCTAGGTGCTGCAGCAACATACATTAATTCACAAGCAAACAAAAGACTTGTAGAAAAGTTACTGAATCCGCGCAAAGTTGTTTATTAGGACGATCAAAATGACTTCCAGGTTCTATTCTTGCGCAGATTATATTTGCTCAGTCTTAATATTATTTTCTTCTCCTTCGCAAAATCCTAGTTGGCGTATTTCCCCCGTCAAATCACCTCCTTTTCCGTCGTAAAATCTCTCAGGTAGCATGTTCAGCAATGGCTTTGCTACCAGATCTTAGACTATAACTACCAATAGAGGTATGAATTCCGGGGTTAATAATGATTTGAAAATTCCATCCTGCAATGACTGGGTTTTTAAAAAACTCAAACATCACTGGACTGTGTACCTTGGAGTAATATGCATAATTATGATCACTTAACCCAAAACTACCATTGGATCTCCAAAAAGGAAAACAAGACGATACCCCATCTCAGATTCCTACTCCCAGTAAGATCAATAGGCTAAATGAGATTATGAGAAAAAGGCATCCTGAAACTCAATTGAAACAGCCTATCGTTCTGAAAGTATATGTGGATAACTGTATTACCTGTTCGCTGTTCAAAACCAGCGACCCTGTATTTGAATACAACTTCTGCAATCCATGGGTCCATTGTCATAGTGACAGTGCAGTACTTAGAGAGTGGGTCCATAATGAGTCACCCCTGCCCTTGGTTCTGATATATTCGTCTATAGTGCAAAATCACTGAGGCAAAAAAATTAACACTATCAAAGCTACAGGCCCCACTTATAATGGACCCACTAATCTCCCCAAGTTAACCAAACTCGCCCAGCACTAAGTCGACCAAAAAGGGGACAAAGGTAGCTGTAACTAGAACCAGTAGACTGAAAAAACTGATGGTCGTTGCACACCCGTCAATACCTGCTAATAGCACGAAGCAATCAGTGAATGTAAGAAAGGGAAACGGCAACACCACAGCTCCCAAAATGCTACAAACCAAGGACCAGGACGTCAGATAAAATTCACTAATTACATTTAACGCATCAGTATTGGAGCGTAGCTTACTGGAAAGCAGAGCTACCTTTGACAACGAAGAGCAGGACAAGCACTAAGTAATTCTAGAAATGAGAAGTGCCTCGGCCAAGTTATGTTGTCTTTCCAAGAGTTCTAACGTCGCTAGAGGGAAACCTTTTCCCTTAGGAGTAACCTTGGACTCGGCACATTTTCACGAAGAAATCCTTCCAGCGTCCAACAGTCCTCCCCGATCCGAGTCAGGCACGCCAAAATGTGGCCATTAAGAGCGAAGGTTAGGACATCGAAAGGCACCTAAGATGAGATCAGTGTCGTAGTCCACGCGAATACCCGAGCTCGCTGGTTGTAGCTTGCATGAAGCTCACGTACATAACACGCAACTATGGCGATGGCTATCACAGAGAATGAGTCTTCACACCACCATTGCAATTAGCATTTACTGGCTGCCTCATCCCTCACACATTGCAAATATTAAGTCTCCAGGTCTTATGGCAGTAAACTTCAGAGATCGACAAAACCTGATTGAGGGGCTTCAGGCCTGGTACAGTATGGGCAACGAGCTCTGTAGTCACTTTAGGTGTTGCAGGAGCTGACCTAGATCTGTGAGACAAGAATAGGGAGGCCAAAATAAGCTCATGATAACGACAGTTAACCCTGATCAACCACCCACGGAACAAGACATGAAGATCAAGGTCTCATCTATTGAATGCACAACACAGGAAAAATCCTGCGAGGACCAGTTCCCACAGAATTGGTCAACTCGGTTTGAACAACTTTTTTGAAAATCCAACAATGGCTATCGCTGTAAAGGTGCGCCAGGTGATGAGACAAACCACCAGGCGCCTCTATAGCAACGTGAGAGGAACGAGAAATAAGCTTTTATAAATCAGGAATATGTTCTCTTAGATGGATGTGAAGTTCATAGTCCTTACTGAAACTAGGCTATTCCACGACATTACAAACGATAAAGTAAGCTTGCAAGATATTGCACTCTTTCAATGAGATGGGGTACACCAGACATGAGGCAGTGTCAATACATATATGAACAGCTATTTGAAAGCCGTGCGGCTATACAACACCCAACTAACTGAGGTGAAAGAATCATGTTTATGTTTCTTCAACATAAATGGCACAAAATACATTTTGGAGGGGTTAACGGCCCTCCTCAAGTTCAAATGCCCAGAAAGATGAACTGACAGAGGCAACACTGCAACTACCACTTCTTCGGTTTGATCAAATACTCTTAGCTGGAGATTTCAGCACTTCATCTCAAAATCTTAGCAAACAAGTTAAAGCTGCCACTGGTTTTTTCCCAAGACGACTTGACCTCGCCATTAAAAGTTCTAGACTGACTGAACATGAATGCAGCCCCACTGAATAAACTAAGGATGGAAAGTCCTCAAACTCCGATCATTTGTTAACAAATGATCAGCTCCTGGTCGAAGATGTTCATGTTTATACAGTCATGTTCAACATAATCATATCCGAGAAACTCAACCCTACCCTTCCTACACTAGGACGAATTACACGGGAATGAGAGAGAATATTCTATATACCCCATGGTCACGGGAACGGTAGAGGCTAACAGTAGATTATCAGTGGCAAGCAGTGAGATACATCATCCAGAATGAAGTTCTATACAGTGAATCCCGGTAAAGGGAAGAACTTGGAGTAAGCGAGGCAGTGAAAGCCTGCAACAGGCGGAAAGGACAAGGGAGGTCTTTCTGGAGTATTCCGACCGTAGTCCTTACTTGACATTAAGAAACAGATGCAATGCCGAAGTTCAAAGTGATAGAAGATACTTCCAGAGGAAGCTAGCTGCCAAAATACAGGTAAATCCAGAGTAAGGTTAATCAATAAAAGAAAACCTATGAACATAGGTGCTTTCGGCCTTAAAGGTTCCAATGGCGACGATCTTACCAACCTAAACATGGCTGAGATCTTTAACCCCAACTTCACTGAACAGTTAAACCAGGTACCTACAAATTTAGAGTACTAGACAAACCTGTAACCAGCTGATGGATTACAGAATATTCGACTTACTCCTGACCTCGCTAAAATCCTTGCACTCAAGAAAGTCTATAGGATGTGACAATCTTTGCCCTGTAGTTTCGAAGCTGTGGAGAAGCACCCAGTCCGCTGATCTACGACCTGCACAGGAATTCAGCAGAGCCACACCAACTTTCGGCTGGATAAAATAAGCTACTCTTTCCAGTCTTCAAAGGAGGAAATGAGAAGGACCCAGCCTTTTACAGAACAGTCGCGTTACAGCTAATGCTTTCGAAGTCAATGGAAGTGCTGGTGAATGAGTAAATGAGGGAGTACATGGATAAGAACAAAATCCTCCATGAAGCTCAAAATGGGTTTTGGAAAGATCGAGCGCATCTGAATTTCTCACAGAATTAGACAGTTGGACATGCTGCTAGGACCGAAAAATAACAGTTCACATAATATTTCGTAACTTTGTAAAAGCCTTCGACATACAGGTTGCGTAGATGGGCTTCATTAACCCACCAGTATCTTGATTAAGAAACTACCTTGGGAAGAGAAAGTTTCGCAGCAAGGTAGATAGAGGTTATGCGAGTCTCAACATCAGGAGTTTCATAGAGCATCATCTTACGTCCACTCTTGTTCCTGATATCCATTATTGATCTGTTCGACAAAATTGGCTCAGCGGCATTGATCTCGAGGTCCATGAAAAGTGAGGAGCATTCAACTCAGCTTCAGAAGGATCTTATATTTATTACGGAATGGGCAGTGAAAAACGATTTAAAACTAAACCAGTCGAAACGTCACGTTATGGACATTCTGCCAAACGCGACACAAATGACGTACATCCTCAACGGAAGTCCACTCCCCAACGTCTCCTCAGAGCGCGACATCGGTCTAATAACTACTGAAAGCCTGGACACCAGTTTGAACAATATAGGGGACACACCCGCGGCTAATGCAACTATTCACTTTATGCCAGGACCACTTGTTGCTATCACCCTAGAACTATTCATTACGTTTTTCAAAACATGAGCAAGGCCACTCCTTGAGGTTCGAAATGTCGTCTCACCCCCCTCTCCTAAAAAGTGATAAAAATCTCTTACGTTAAGTGAAAAGATGAGCAACGAAATGGGTGATAGGGTTGGAAAGTAAAACTTACGGAGATAGACTCCAGAACCTGCGATTATTCTCCCTGAGTTACAAGAGAACCAGAGGTGATCTGATAATGGAGTACAACATATAAGCCGCCAAACTATCCCAATGTGATAATCTTACTGTAGCATCACCAACACGCCCCTCGAGGTTATCCACGAAAAATTGCTCATCAAAGAGCGAACACCCTGGTTCGTGCAGAAATCTCATTAAGAACTGTAGCAACTTGCGATGCTTTCCTAGCTGAGGTGACCACAACTTCCTCAAATCAGCAATCTAATCTATCTCGCTTATTTTTACTGTTTCACTTCCCTCACTTATAATTCGGTCCTCTCGCACCATGTTCACTGCCAGTTAAATAAATTATACAACTATTGACCTCTTTCTGAAATCTTCCTATTAGCACTATAATTTTGTCTTTATTATTCTCCATATTACAACTAACTGAACTCCGGCCTGGTAACGTAATTGCTGCTGGTAGTCAGAAACCCCACTTCCCTGAAACAAACGTTTTAATTCAAATCAAGGGAAACAGAAACTCATAAACAACTGCCAGATGACTAGAATCGATGCAGTCGAGTGGCTAGACCCCCATCCATTCGACACTACCAAACACCGAGAACAGTGCCGAAAGAACAAGAATCAACTGCTTTATATCAGCTCGTGTAAACGATATCGGGTACCGAATTTCGGAAGATATCCCAACTTCAGACCTCAGTTCAAAAAAATAATACGTATACTTCATCTGCTCACAACATTTGTTTGGAATCGCTTTTTGATTAATGACCTAGACAGTAAGCTATTAATCCTTCCTTTCGAAATATCTACGCGCGAGGGTTGATTACTTCTTACTTGCAAGTATTTTGAACTTTTTATTTCAAACTGATTTTTGGTGAGTTATCATAGGTCTGCTTATTTCGTACCGTTTATAAATTTTAAGTTTTTAATGTTACCCCTAGTATAGCCGTTTTACCATGCGATGAATAATCCGGAGAAGTTAATCATACTATGCTACAGAAATAAAGGTGACCTGGTCCATATGTGCTCGTTTTCGACGCATTACTTTAAGCTGTGCATATCGTCTTTAAGCTATTCCGCTACCTTGAAATTATCTGAGCTATTCTATTATCTATGGCTACCTGCAAGAATTACGTTTCACTCGTTTTTTGAGTGCTTTGGACTTGCTATATCATTTTTGTCATAATTACTCATGATTAAGTATGCATCCATGCTCTGTTGTCTTATTTCTCCTCTAAGACGTTTGCATTAAAGTATGCATACTTTGACAATTTATTAAACACGTTAACGCGATAGGTGTGAGAGATAGCCTCTTCAAAATACTGTGACCGAGTAACTAACGGCATAACTATCTGTCTTAACCTACTCACTCCCTAATTTATTGCCTGTCTTTCTATCGCCCGACCACTCACGACAAATTTTCAGTACGTATTGTAAAGATGGTCTTGATTTTAGTGTGGATACATACATTCCCAAAAGCAACATCATCAAATGCCCAAAGTAATTAATATCCAGCTTCCTATTTTGTTGAAGGGCTCTCACTCCATGCGTTTCCGGTTTCTTATTATCAGGTTAATAAATGTCTTGAATTTTCTAACCATCCCACTTCATTTTAGCAAAATATTCATTTGACACCGACTAACTCATCGCAACACCTCGGACTCAAAGTGAAAAAACGAGTCCCAAACATACCTGCTCCACAACAAACTGCTCCTCAACATATACACTAAGAAACCAGGTTATTCGCACACCAAGTTAATACTTCAAGGAGTATAGTCAGTTTACTTCGACGTGAAACTTCGTATGTACGTACATCAGTTAAGGTTGCCTTACCGCATTAGCACAGAGATGAAATAGTAGTAGATGTGGTAAAGGTATTAGCAATGATTGAAAAGCTTAGGGTTCGCAGATATTATTGAAGTAGCATAATTTAGTGAGATAACTTGAAAAGCAAACGATAGAGATGATAAGGAATTCTGAAGATTAGAATTTCAGAGAATACATGGGATGGATGCACCTGCGCCATTGCAAACGATATTGAGCCATGTCATTCAAGGTCTCCAACCATCGGTCACTTTCGTCTCGTGGACTCGAGCCAGGTAGCCTACATCTACCAACATGACGCAGTCCACTTGTCAGTGATTTCATGGTTTTCTGCCATGTTTTGGTTTGGCCGCCCCTAGCTTTCTTCCAACCTACTCCTACACCATAAAACATAGCTCGTCGCGGCAGTCGGTGGTTGAGCATTCGTATCACATGTCCTAACCACGTCAACTGATGAAGTTTCGATACTTCATCTATTGATTTGTCATCATTACCTAGCACCCGTTTCCTAACAATAGCACTGCTTACTCGGTTTTCCTCGGATACTTGATCTATGCTTTGGAGATATCTATAATCGAATACTTATATCCTACAAATATCTTCTACTCTGACTGGCCATGTTTCACAGCCGTATAGGAGAACGGAGCGAACTGCTGCGCAGTACACTTGTTCTTTAGTCAGCAAACGGATATCTCGCCTTCGCCAAAAGTGACGCAGATTGTAGAAAGCCAACCGAGCTGGGATTTCATCAGTCACCAGGCCATCAGCACTGATGAGACTCCCAAGATAAGTGAAGCGGTCAACACGCTCAAATGCTTCACTCCCTATCACTAGTTCAGGTGCCGATACAAGCCAATCTTGAAGCAACTTTTTGCATTTCGACGGGGAGAATCGCATCCCGAACGTGCTTGCATTGTTGATTAGAGTAGTTAAGAGACACTGGATTTCGTCAGCGTCTTAATCTAGAAGCATATCTATGACAAAATTAAACAAGAACGGAGAAAGTGGACATCCCTGATGGACACCACTTGAAGTAATGAATTTTGATGACAGTTCGCCATAAGCTCTAACTCGACCTGTAGTGTTCGAGTAGAGAGCTTCTATAAGGTGAATGTAATTCTTTGGTACATCTTTTGACGATGAACACCTCCAGAGAATCTCACGATCGACAGAGTCGAATGTAGTTTTAAGGTCGAGAGATACTACTATTGAGGGGCGTATGAACGTGTTCCTTTGTTCTAGGACCTATCGTAGTGTGAAGATGTGGTCTATATATCCATGTTCAGGTCGGAAACCAGCCTGGTTTTCTCTAGTCTGTGATTGTCATAAGAGCACTTTTGTCCTTTCTTATAAATTGGTACAATCAGTGATTGAGACCAGTCGGATGGGATTACGTCCAATTCCCAAATTCTACCTACGATCCTAGTCAATCTAGCCGCCAAAACTGGACCACCATCCTTAAAAATCTCAGGGTCAATCTGTCAGGACCCGCTGCTTTCCCTTGCTTTAGATTTCCTATGGCTCTTTCGACTTCATAAAGAGTCGGAGGACTTACATAGACTTGCCATTCAGGATGACCGGAGATCGTAGCCAACCGAAGTGTGGCTGAAGGCCAGTTGAACTGATCCCTAAAGTGTTCCGCGCATCGATCCAATCTCCTGGTTTGAGAATGAATGCTACAACCATCCTATTCTGAAAGTCCCACTCACAGTCGGATTTTTAATACCGGTTTCCTTGGTAGGTCGGAACAACTGTCTACTGTTGTCTGTCGCTGTCGCCTTTACCATCGCTCTGACTTTCGCTACCCACCACTGTTCGCAATCATTGTGTAGGCTTTTTATCAGCCTGCGCCTAGGCTGACTTCGCTCTTCATCGTGTTCAGAGCCAGGTAGGATGAGTTTACTAGCGTCTATCAGTTCGATGGATGCCACTGAGATCAATGGCTTCTTCCTAGCATTATGGTTTACCTTACTAGCAGATGTCACGGCTGTTTCCACAGCCTTTTTGATATCAGTCCAAGGATATTTCTTAATCTGCTTTCATTTTTAGACTTATAGACTGAAGTGATTTTCATATACTGTTGTGATTGATTAATTCGTAACCAGCTAAATTGTATCTGAATCTCTCACCTGTTGATGTTTCAACAGAAAGATAATATCTTAACCTAAAAATATATGTTGTTGGACTGAAACTGTTGAACTGGACATAACTATTGATCTGCATTCATTTATTCCAAAATATTTATATTTCTTTTGATCAATCTAATGAGTGATCCTTTTTCTTACAGGTTATTTAAAATGCCTCAATGCGAACAGGGAATGTCAAACACAGAACTCGTTACTGAACAGATTGTGTTTATTTTGAAACTCATCTGGTGCTTATTTTGTGAAGTGGCTAGATGTCTTTTACAAACAATCAGTCCAGTGTATAAAGATCTATCATCGGATGTTATACTTGTCACCGGTAAATTTTGTCACATAATTTAATACTTTAATCTTTCTTTTAATTCTTCAGGTGCAGGCAATGGTATAGGCAGACTCATGTGTTTAGAATTTGCAAAATTTTGTCCAAATATAATAGCTGTTGATAAGAATGAGAAAGGCTTATTAGAAACATCCAAATTAGTTTTTAAGGAAACTAACATTCAAATTAAAGTGTATACATGCGATCTAAGGTATGGAGTTGTTTGCCTTTAAAAAAACAACCAATTATTTTTGTATTGACAGACATAAGAAGGAGATTGATGAATTATCGACTAATGTTTTGAAAGAATTTGGAAAAGTTACCGTTCTAGTCAATAATGCAGGTGTCATGAATGCAGATTTTATCTCTGAACTAACACAGGATTCTATAGAAAATTGTTTCAAAGTCAATACCTTATCACATGTTTATGTAAGCATCTTTTTTTCTTCTTGGTCAGTTGTGTTTCTACTAATAATGAGAATAACAATTATTTGTGAACTTTCATCAGTTGAGATGGTTGGGACATGTGTTGCGTATGCCTAACCACCGACTGCCTCGTCGAGCTTTGTTTTGTAGTGTAGGAATAGGTTGGAAGAAAGTTAGGGGCGGCCAGACCAAAACATGGCAGAAATCCATGATGTCAATGACAACTGGACTGAGCCATGTTCATAGACTACCTGGTTAGGGTCCACAAAATAATAGTAATCGATGGTTAGAGACGCTCAATGTGACATGGCTCAAAACCGTTGGCAATGGCTCAGGTGTATCCATTCTTTGTGCTCTTCCAAATTCTAAACTAAACTCTTCATGACCATCTTTCTCGTCTGAAATCTATTTCACTGGATTATACTTCTTGAATAATATCTTCGGTCACAGGTGTCTTCGAAGCATTGCTCGTATACCGTGGGACAACCGAGTAAGCAATGCTGTCGTTAGGAAACGAGTACTAGGTAAGGATGGCAGATCAATCGATGAAGTGGTGAAACTTCATCAGTTGAGGTGGTTGGGACATGTGCTGCGTATGCCTAACCACCGACTGCCTCGAAGAGCTTTGTTTTGTAGTGTAGGAGTAGGTTGGAAGAGAGCTAGGGGCGGCCAGACCAAAACATGGCGTAAATCCATGAGGTCATTGACGAGTGGACTTAGCCATGTTGGTAATTGTCGACTACCTGGTTGGGGTCCGCGAGATGATAATAATCGATGGTTAGAGACCTTGACTGACATGGCTCAAAATCGTTCACAATGGCGTAGGTGCATTTATTCTTTGTGTTCTCTCAAATCCTAATCTTCTGGATTCTTCAACCACTGTCGTTTTGACTTTCTAAACTTTTCTCATTGAATCATACTTCTTGAATAATATCTTCTAATCCTGACCTCTCAGATTACTTCTAATACCTTTACCACCTCTTCTACTATTGGATTTGAATTGACAATTACATCTCTGTGCTGATGTGGTATGGCAACATGAACTGATGTACATACGTACGAAGTTCTACGTTGCACCTGACTGACTGACTTCTTGAATAATATCTTCGGACTGTGATCTTTCCAATCACTGCTCATACGTGTACACTACCTCTACCACTATGGTATGACAACTTGAACTGTTGTACATACGTACGAAGTTCTACGTTGTAAAAACTGACTGGACTAACTCTGATTTATGTAATTAAAAACATGGTTATTTCTCTAGCTTATATGTGTAATTTTTTGTAGTTTAAAATATTAATGAAATAAATATTTATGATTAAAAGAATTTCATATTTTTTTTAAAAATAATTCTCTTTAAATTACTTCTTATAATATTTCAGTTGAACTTTGTTTAATTATCAAAGTCCATTTGTAAACATTTAAATGTCTCTTATATTTTGAGTTGTAATTTTTTTTAAATTTAGTAATTATTTTTTTTTTTGAATAACCTCTTATACATGAACTTTAATTAATGATAGACATATTTTATGAAGTAAATTCTTTCTTAGTTTAGACTCACTAATATTAACTTCTTTATATAATAATTAGTTACAAAATAAATTACTAGTATTTTGACACGTTATATTGCTATAAGAAACTGGCATAATCAGATTTGATTGTGACCAGTTCGGTCTTGTGTGTTGTTACGAGTATGAAGGCAGATGTCATTTCCCAGCTGCTCACACCGCGGATGTTTCTTGAGGAACCTGAAAAGGAAGGTAGATAAGCGTTGGTCTTAGATACCTGGTAGCCCAATGGACAACTACTTGAGGCCGGTCATGCACAGCCTTTTTATGCGAAGTATTTAAAGTGTTAGATCTGCTCTTGTTTAAAGGCTGTTAGTATCTGAGACGGAAGTGTGTGAGGTAAGGTGAAGTGTGACATTTTTAGGGTCGACCTTTTCTAACCCCCTCCTTCTTAATGAGAAGGCAGCATCGCTGCAGATGCTGGTTGTCTGAGCGAAACATCTTACTGCTGTCACACCTCTCTGCAGTCAGCAGTACAACTTCGCCCTCAGACCTTGAGTAGCTGGTTGTAGTCTCATCGTTCTCCAATTGACGTGTCTGGCATGGTAGAATCTACAGGAACATATGTTGTAGCCAGTATAGCTCGGTTGGGTCATCACGACAGGCAAGCCCGACTACCACGTGAAGGTAGCAGCTACGGTCGGGAGCGGCGTGCAACTTTGAGCAAATACACCACTTAATTACTATCAACACGTTTATCCATTTACTACGTTCCCCTTTCACTTATATCTATCTCTCTTTTTTATTTATAGCTAAGCCAAGCATTTCTACCTACTATGCTTAATAAAACAAATGAAAACTCTAACTGTGATAATGATGTCCCAGTGACATTTCGTCATCCTCGTGGACATATTGTTTGTATTTCATCAATAGCTGGTCGAGTACCATTAGCTGGTGGTGCTGATTATTGTGCATCTAAAGCGGCAGCTTTGCTATTTGCTGAATCATTAGAATTGGAATTGTTGAAATTGGGAGTAGATGATGAAATTCGTGTTACACGTGTATTACCTTTCCTACTTAATACAGATATGTTCAAAGGTGTAACACCCAAGTAAGTTATGTGCTTTTCTTTTGTTTTCTTATATTTTCATAGACAGTTCCTACTGAGAAGACTGAGGCAGGCGAGGAAGATTGTATTATGCAAATTTACACTCTGAGTTAGTTAAAAACGAAAACATTACATTGAGAACACTCTATTTGTATACCATCTTTGAGTCTGGACTTCCAACGTTCCATCCTTCTTCCCTTCCTGTTGTTGCTTCCTTTCCTTTCTGTTGGTACTCTATTTACTTCTTGCTTTTGCTCCATTTGCTTTCCGTTTTCCTCTTCTGACCGTGAGACTTCTTCTTTCACATCCCTTCTTATACTACTTATATCGTTCGTATAAGTAGCACACACCACACTACCACATAGATTGACACGTTAAAAGGTGCTGAGCAGTTTTTTGTTTCGTTTTACAATTTGTAATTAGTTTAGTGAATCAATCAGTTATTCAGTTATATTCAGTGTCGAACCAGAAACATATACACGCACCGTTGCAAGTTGTTATCCTCTGCTTTCTGTCGCATAGTGAGATAAAGTTATCACTATAAATTCCAGAGTATTAACGGTAGTAACGGTATTTACTGGTCATAAAAAGGATAAGATTCAGAAGAAATTCTAAGGAAATTTTACGAGGTAATCTAAGAGGACCTAAGATCTAAGGAAGGATAAAGAGTGGATAATTTTCCTAGATAAATGGTACATTTAAAACAAAGTCATTGACCGATAGTAGTAGCCAAGCAACAATCGAGTAATTTTACTATTTTTCGTAAACATTTAATACCCCATTGGGATATTAACTTCCTATAACTTATTGTAATAAACAATATTGAATGTAAAGTTCAATTTTTTTCTCAATTAACATGAGTATATTATTACAATTATTTATCTGTTACAGACGTCCTTTACTTTTTCCCACTGTGGATGCTAGTTATTGTGCAAATCGAATTGTTCAGTCTGTACGTTTAAATGAACGAGTCGTTTATGTAAGCCCTCGATATCGCATATTGCCTATCTTACAAATGTAAGTGTTCATTATTCGTTTGTTTTTTTTCTCATATCCTAATTAATCAATTGAAATGAAAATAATAACATCCATATTGTCTGTTAAGTGTCTAATTATTGCTCTTGTTGTAAACACATTACTTACTCCCTTTCAACTACAGCTCCCAAGAGATGTTCTTCGTTTAATGCTTCCCTGTGTAATTGCTCCTACAGTCAGTTACAGCGTAGAACTTTGTACGAACATACGCTAGTTTCTGGTTGCCATATCAAATTAGCACACAGACACAATTGTCACATCAAATCCCTTAGTAGTAGAGGTAATACAAGTATGAGCAGTAATCGGGAAGTTTAGGGTTGGAGAGTATTATTGAAGAAGTAGAATATAGTGAAATTTGAGAGAACACAAAGAATGGATGCTTTTTATGCTATCGCAAACGATTTTGAGCTACATCATTCAAGATCTCTAACCATCGATTACTATCATCTCGCGGACCTTAACCAGGTAGTGGACACTTATCATCATGACTCAATCCCGTTGTCAGTACACATTAATTCACAAACACATTTAAAGGCAACCTCATACACGTAATAATCCACTTCTGACTACTGGGTTTTTATCGATCGATACAAATTATCATATAGCTGATATTGATTACTGTTTTAGTCACTATTTCTTAACCAGCTTACCCTGTAATTTGATTGACCTGTAAACTATTTGAATTGATAATAATAGTTATCTAGAATAGCATTCATAATAAATCAGTGAAATCATGAACTTTCACAAATATTGAGTAACAATATATGAAAATAATTGGTTTAGTAAACCCATGTGATTTACAGCTTCCTCGAATGAGTAAAGTTCATGAAGGGTTAACAGTCAGTGTTTGATAATGATTTTTAACATTAAACTTAAAATCTGCAACAGTAGTGAAACGACAAACTTTCAGTATCACTTGTACAAATAAATAATTTAAACTCCTTTAAATTTTTTAGCTAAACAAAGATATACAATCTAGACTTTTGCATACACCAGTTGATATTATCATACATCACAATACAATAGGAAGTAAAAGTCAAGAAAAAATAAAAGATATACTACACTTATAATTAATCAACAACATAGTGAATCTTTTTTTTCAAATGAAGTAGTTCGACTATGTGTTTTACTTATGTCTAACCACTGCCTACTACTTCGACGTGAAATGTCCAATGTGGTGGATGGAGTAAATTGGAAAAATGTTAGGAGTAACCAAATAGACATGTCATCAGTCCATAAAGCCATTGACAGTTAAGCTTGGTCGTGTCGGTAGATGTAGGTCGTTCGTGTAATAGACATGACATGATTGCAATGGCACAGAAGCATTCACTTTCTCTATCTTCTGTTTGATCACGGATTTCAAAACGACCTAATCCTATTTTTTTAGTCCACGAATTCATATTCTCTCTAATCACTCTGTTTATGCCTAATGTTTTTTTTATCACCACTGATTCTCTAATTAATTCTATCCACTTTTCTGACATGTTGTTGTGGTAATATGTTGCGGCAACTTGAACCGATCCACGTATATAGTTCAGACTGACACAACTCACATATTTGTACACTCGGCTCTGAGAAACATTTTGTATGTGTGGGTTAGTAATCTTACCTGAATTCTCAAACTAAATTGGGTTGAGCGAGATTCACATATGACATCTGCTAGCTAGAGTAGTTCAACGTCTTAACAATTAAACCACTGCTCCAGCGAACGCTTAATCATTTGAAGCCGATTGTTTCAACCTGCAACTCGCCATTCTATTTCTGATCTACTAATTATAGCCATTCATATTATGTTCTAAATTTCTAGTCAGGGAGTTTGTGGAGATTGTTAAATGTTCACGGAATCGTCTAAATTAGACAACCATTGAAAATCAGGAAGCGCAGAACAGTTACTTCGTCTCAGCATGATACTCCTTGAAAGTATGCATTCACAGCCCTACCGAGGATCGGACCCGGAACCTTCAGGTCTCTCGACGAAAGCCTAATCTTTTAAATCTCTGAGCTAGCATCTAGTGATCTGTGATCGCATGACTTAAATTGATTGGCGATATTGTCTATCCATAAAATCTGTAAAATCTCTGTAGAAAGTTCTCAAATATTTGTGCTTACTTACTTAAATTGTTTTGTTTTCATTTTAAACTAACAGCACTTTTTGATTGACTTTTGAATAGCCTCACTTTTTTTTTTCTAGACAATCAAAACTCGGTTGTCTGATAAAAACAAAATCTGACTGAACAATTATTATGTATGAAGCATTGAGAGTTGCATTTTGAGTCATATGTTAGAAATTTACTATCATTCATTTATTTCTATTCATTTATTTCTCTAGACTTCTTCCAACCAAAATGCTTCATTGTTTGTTTGAATATGCTAATACAGATGCATATGTTGATCAGTTGAAGCTTTGTCGAAAGAAAACTGATGCTTGCAGTTAATTAAAACACGTACTCAAGATCACTTATATATATATATTATATAAATATACTCATTTATCACTTTTAACGCTTAAAATAACTTATTATTTCCAAAATAAGTATCGACTACAAGATATTATTTTCAAAGTTCAATGCTGTGATGTTTATCACGTACACATTTTAATTTTAACAACCACTTGATTATGTTATATGTACTTTTTCATTGTCGTAGCGGCTAATAAAATCTCGAAAATATGTTCAATGTCCTTTGGATATTGTTTTTTGATTGCTTGTTCAATAATCAACTTAACTTTTTGTTTTTCTTCGAAAAAAAAAACAAGTTATTAATACAAAGTTGATATACCCAGCGAATAAAATGCAGAAATTTCTCTCTCACAGTTCTGTAACGTTTATATTATTATACACAGTTTATTCATAGTGCGCGTTATTATTATTATTATTATTAGGAATTGGTTGTAGTAGCCTCTACATCCTTTTCATCTTGAATATATAGGGTTGTAATATTGTTAAATGGGTTTTGTTCGTTTCTTCTTCAGTCAGTCAGATGCAACGTAGAACTTCGTACGTAAGTACATCAGTTCATGTCACCATACCACATCAGCACAGAGATGTAATTGTCAATTCGAATCCAATAGTAGAAGAGGTAGTAAAGGTATTAGAAGTAATCGGAGAGGTTAGGATTAGAGGATATTATTCAAGAAGTATGATTTAGTGAGAAAAGTTTAGAAAGTCGAAACTAGAGGTGTTGAAGAATCCAGAAGATTAGGATTTGAGAGAACACAAACAATAAATGCACCGGCGCCATTGCACACGGTTTTGAGCTATGTTATTCAAGGTATCTAACCATCGATTATTATCATTCTCGTGGACCCCAACCAGGTAGTCGACAACTTACCGACATGGCTAAGTCCACTCGTCAATGACTTCATGGATTTCTGCCATGTTTTGGTTTGGCCGCCCCTAACTTTCATCCAACCTATTCCTACACTACAAAACCAAGCTCGACGAGGCAGTCGGTGGTTGGGCATACGCTTCTTCTTCTTACAATCTATGTGTTGTATTCACAATTGACATCGTAAAATGATATCTAGCTAAACAATCATTGAAAATCTGAGAGAGCACTTGAGTGCTGCTGGTATATAGGACTTATTAGCAATCGATGCTACCATTGATGCATCATTAAGCCCACCCTTCTCAGTTTTTTATCGTATTAATTCCTATTTTCATTGTTTAAATGTAAAATGTGATGAATTCCATCAATCCATACCTGTTTTTTTTAGATGTCACTTCATCTATGATTGTAAATTCATTCCATCATTTAAAAGTGTTTCCTATGCACACATGATGCTACTATTGTTTTTTTGCAAAATAGAAATATAATATTGGAACTCTGAAAAGATTCCTAAATTGCACGATGTAGGTAGACAGACCCACAGAGTAGTACACTAAATAGTATCCTAGAGTTTCATCAACTGTATAAATAAATGATAACACCATACTGATACAATGATAAGCATATCAGCGATGAACTGATACCAATGCATATATGTAAACAACGAGTAGCATGGAATTTCGAGCGCTCAAATCATGCAGCCTACTCGACCTGTAGCTACCTACATTCAAACTGTTAATCCTTTCATGTTCTCCTAGTACATCTTACCAGATACGATATCACCTTAAATAGTCAACATTATCATGACAAATATTACATCCTACTAGAGAATCTTTATTTTTACAACGTATTACGAATCTATTATCCACATATACAAAACATTTTCTATCCTTGATTACTGACTTGCCATATCAGGTAGTCAGTGTTCCTCCTTGTTTGTTATTGTAACATAAGTCGTTGTACAAACCTATGGTGCTCATAACTAGTCGAAACCGTTCGACAGTTTGTGAAAAGCATCTAAACACGTAGTCTTTCTCTTCACATCATTCGATAAACTGAATGAGTAATATCTGTAATGTAGCCAGAGTTGCTGAATAGTTAGTTAGTTTCATTCAATTCACAAACTTAAAGCCTTCATGTTCATAAAATGAAGCATCTGTATATTTGCCACACTGGTATTAGCAACTGACGACTAACAGATTTCAAGTGCACTGCTACTTATAATTGAATATATGCTGATATTTCGAAATTATCCTTACAAATACCATATTGAAGTTGATAATAATGAACTAAATGACAATAATCTACGTGTAAAATAATCGACAGAATCTGCGAAAATGACAACAAAGATCAGTTACTTTTGTTTCGGCTCACTTCACCAAACATCTACAGGAATCTATACTCATATTTCTTCTTTCGAACCCTATCAACAGTCATGAAGTTATGATGAACATAAGTCACATCATAATCTGTCCTATTACTTCAAGCAGAGACCATACTCATGGAATTACGGTTTCTTTGATAAGAAATACCAACCTCACTGTTTTACTTCGACGGTGACGCGTTTACCTGCTTTTAGAATAAATTCTATTTTAGTATGCTAAGCTTTGAATCCTGCTACATTTGTAGTGATTGATACGGCTGTTACTATTATGTGACGTACAATATTTCATCACAGTATAGTAAGCGGACGGAAACTAATCGATCAGTGACTACGTCCAAAGCATTCTAAGAAATACAAAACACAAAATCAAATGTATCCCGCAATGTTTATTGTTTAATAATAATACATAGTAATTAGCACAACAGGCACTGAAACTTAAGAAACACATGTACATGAATAACTATTAGTTCTAACAATCCGTATGAAAATTATCAACTACTGTTATGCCCATTTTTCGCGCAACGAGTGCAGTATCGTTTCAAATTGTATGTTGAACAATTCTGAACAACAACAAATCTGAAATAAACTGAACATGACATACCTGAGAAATACAAACAGTTTTTCCACACGCATTACAGTCACCGCCCAGTATTATTCCACCCAGATTATCATCAGCAAATGGATCACGAATACAATATACACTTTCCAGAAGCCTAAAATTATTATGAAAAACCTTGGATACCTATTTACTTTATATCCTGTTTGAAGAATGGAGGCTTATCGCCTTTGTAATCATATCTGATTTTTAAATCACATAAACTGCAGTGAAACAATCCATCGTTTATCTCAGACGACATAAAACTGAATGAATAATACGTCACCACCAAGTTTCACTATGAGTAATAAATACGCATTTTCAGAAAATATTCAACATAATACTGACAATATGAAAGTAGTTAGAGGTCACAAAGAAACGATTATTTCTATTAGAATTTTTGTTTTCTACAGCTGAATGGCACTAGACAGCTATTTACTGCCTATGTTGATAAATTTCAGGATGTTAACGTACAACACAATGAAAGAGAAGACCCGTTTATGCGTGCTAAGTTTCATTTTCAGATTTTAATGTAACTACAAATACATTTCACCTATACCAAGTTGCTACTACATCACTATAGAAGAAACAAGCTCCGCGCTGAAAAGGACTACTGATAAGTCGGTCAGTCAGCTACAACGTAGACCTTCGTACGTACGTACACACATCACATTAGCACAGAGACGAAATTGTCGACTAACGTCCGGTAGAAGTAGAAGTACTAGCGGTGATGCAAAGTATTAGTGTTCGAAGAAATTATTCAAAAAGTACAGTCCAGTGAAATAAAATTAAAAAATGAGAAAGATAGAGGTGATGAGGAATTCGAAAGGTTCGAATTTGAGGGAAAACAAATGGTTGCACCTGCGCCACTGCAAACGATTTTGAGGCATGTCAGTCAACGTCTCTAACCATCGGTTACTATCGTCTCGCAAACCTAGACTAGGTAGTCTACACTTACCAAAATGACAGTTTACTTGTCAGTGACTTCATGAATTTTTGCTATGTTTTGGTCTGGCCGCCCCTAACTTTCTTCCAACCTACTCCTACACTGCGAAACATAGCTCGTCGAGGCAGTCGGTGGTCGAGAATTCATAACACATGTCCCAACCACCTCAATTGATGAAGTTTCACTACTTCATCTATTGATCTGCTATCCTTACCTAGCACTCATTTCTTAAAGTATTCAAATAGTTATAGACAAGGAATGTACAAAAACTATCAAATAGTTACATAAGTATCTAGGAGACAACTAAGCTAAAAGAACGTGATTTATGTGAAAATTAAGGGCAAAATTAAGTTAGTTTAGAATTTAAATAAATAGTGAAACTTTTAAAAAATTCAGTGTTGATTTTCGTCGAAAATTCAAGCGAATAAATTTTGGGTAAATGTTTTTTAAAGTGACGGGTTACGGACACATCTATCTAAAAATTTCGGAAAAGAATATTCCTGGATTCACAATAACCGACCAATTTATGGGCTGATTTGTGCACAAACTTAGCCTCCTCAATGGAGAAAATAAGGATAAACCGAGTTATCAGACTAGAAACTCCCGAATCAATGTGGGAAATTTATGGACATCATGAAAATCTTAAGAGTCATCGCGACGTTTTCACAGAAAATGTATGGACACGGAAGTTTTGTAAGAACATTTGAACTTTGTGCACTCCTCGAAAATTTGACTTTTGTTTAGAAACTGATGACTTACGTGTTTGTTTATGATTGACTTCTCAAACTATAGTTTTGCCGTACGCTTTTGAGACGTAGAACCATACTGGAACGACGCGCTTTATTTTGTACTGCGTAGTCCAATATCCAATATATTTTTCACAGGATAGTATAAAGAGACTGAAAGTTTTTCGTTCTATTCTTGTTCTTTTGGTAGGCTGCTAGGTTGTGTCAACTGTAAAACTTCTCAACATCCCAGAGGTGGTTGAGGAAATTTTAAAAGCTTTCTCTTTTCAAGCAAGTTAGTATGAAATACCCTCGTGTACTTCCTTGAAACACTGACTATCTTCAAAATATGTCTCCAAGCTTCTTCATTCCTTAATTTTTGTCCAACTTGGTTTGTGACACTTGGTAATACTGTCAAGAGAGTTATCAAACTGTGAAATCCATGATATCTTTATCTTGTAGTGAATTCTAAGGATTTATGAATCTCAAATTTTAAAACTATCCAGCTCTCTTTGTTTTGCCTCTAGATAAATAGAAAGTCTTTGCATTAAACCAAATGAGAAAATTCATTATTGCTTCAGGGTTCATCTTTGAATAGATTATCTCTGTAGGCTTTCAAACGACAGATGGATCGAGGTCCCTGCCTATTAGTCAAGACTAAACGGTAATGGTATGTACCACTCCTGTCATATCGTGAGCTATGATCCATGGAGTTTCGACCAGATTTCTGTGTTTCCTAAACACTCATAGAGATCTTACACTAAGCTAAAAAGTGGATAATAAAGACAAATGCCTCATACCTGAGATCAGATAGCACCAAAAACAAAAATAAGTTTCCGTGTGCAAACATTCAATCAGGTCACATTTATTTTCAGTAAATTGTCATAGAAAAACAGTCATCAGCTGCCATGTCAAACAGAACCATATAGAGGGGTATTAGGAGCATTCGTTCTATCAAATTTATCATGACGTAATCCTTTTGCAGTTCTCACGCCGAAGAAGACTTTCCAGGAGTTTGCGTGAGATATTCTTCCTTCCGGTCTGTTGGTATTTGTCCTTCGCTCAAGCTTCTCTATGGAGACCATGGAACATATTCCCAGTTACCTTTGTGTCCCACCTCAGTGCCTCACCTGGTGTACTATCTGGTCTTATTGCTTCATCATTCTTGATTTGTTTGATAACATCACTAATTTCTTTAGTTGCTGGTAGGTATTTTACACACTACGGTCTGTATCCGGTTGGTCTATTCAAAAGGTCATCAAAGTGTTCTACCCAGTCGTTGCATAATCAATATTATAATTATCGATCCACTTCCCGGATAATTTATTTTGCTTATCGTTACTTAATAATAATAATGATAATAAATTATTCTCAAATAGCAAACATGTTACCAGAGACATGCCAATTTACAGGCAAGATCAAAATGTTAAGATTAGTAACATATTTCTTTTAAAATGGTATACAGTTACTGAAATATTTCACGAGATTCACTGGATTCCTATAGATGGAATGTACAATGCGAATAATTGGCGCGAGTTACGAAGGTTGCGTTACGGCTATCATCTTATTGACTGCGAAACGATTCATGGTAGAGATAGGTTTGCATATAACAAGAATTGATGCAGTAAATGTGCAAAGGTCTGGTTGATATTCATTAGCTGATGATTACTGGCCTCTTCGATTTATAATATTTCCTCGATAGTCTATTTGTTGAATCAAGTTCTTCTCCGTGTTTCCTTCTCTAAAGGTCTTCTACATACTGTAGCCTGTTATCCCTACTACTCTTCTACACTTAATGGTTGGCTCCATATATTCGATCTGTCTTGGCTGCCTCTGATCTTGTTCGACTATGCTATTCATTTCTTCAACCTTGTTAAGAATGTTTCCAGAGATTTAACTATTTCTTTCCTGGGTTTGAATCATACTTTGCAGACTTCAAAGTAGCAGGTTTTTCATACAATTAGCAGTCCTCTGGCATCATGAAGCGTTTTCTGCTTCATATTCACAATAAAAAATAACACTCCTTAAGTCAATATTTTTTGCTCAAACTATTTTGATCGGTTCATTTTGTTCATTGTGTAGAGAGCCTGCATCCCGCTTTAACGGATTTTTAAATGCGTCTACTGATCTCCAACATAGCTGGAATTCCTCATTTCGCTAACTTGGTTATTTTCTTATTAAGCAAGAGGAACTTCCGTCTTATGGCTTCCATTAGACATCATGTAAATGGCAAACAAATTTCTAGATGACGTTTTATATGAATACTTATGTGCTTAACAGATGACTAATAAACTGGCTGGCTCACTCAAGATACGCACCCAATACCAGGCTAAGAGCTTTTAATTGAGAATAACCTGCTGTGCCCTCCTCATCTAATCAAGATCATTTTCAAAAATTAGAAACATTCCAAAGAATATACATTTATATTGAAAAATTCAGTCCCAGTACACTCGAGCAGCCAGCTGATATCGTGCACGAAAGCACAATTACCAAGACAGTTGCTCAAAGTATTTCTGATCAGTCAAAATATAAATATCAGAAATCTACAGTGGAAGAAACCTTAGCAGTATATTCAAGGATGCATGTATCTGTAAAAAATAGCAGTATTCATATTCAGCTTGACATTTATTACTTTCCAGGACTGTATAGTTTGGTCTTCAATAGATATGAATGAAGGACTATCCAAATCAGAGACGGCCTCAAAAGCACAGCCATATGTAATGAATGAATTGGGTGCATAGTAGTGTAAAAAGATATCAAAGAATCTCTTCATCCGGCTGATATCTATACACGTATAAAGGCGATTTTTCGTTGCGTGTGGAGTTATGTTACGATCTCAAAGAGGTGACGTTATCATGAAAACCCCACCGGAAAGAGAAAATCGGATTATCGCTAGGAATTTTCACCAATCCTCCCTCCAATTTTACAGTTAATTTAAACAATGAAGAGAGTAAATATTAGTTGTGTAACCAATAGTCCATGAAGGGTAGATAAATTTAACAGATCTCCAATTTTCTTTTAGAAAATTAACTACAATGCAGCCATAAGTGTTTTATTATGAAAATTATTAAAGACAAAATTTCCTTTTCCAGGAGCTGTTCTTAATGGAAACCAATACATTGTCATAAATAAAAAGAAAATATTTTTGAAAATATATATCACTAATATATCTCATCCGACCGTTGCTGCTACCTTGACATGGTGGCCGAGCTTGCCTTTCGTGATGACCCAACCGAGCAATATTGGCTGGAGCATACGTTTCTGTAGATTCTACCACGCCAGGCAGGTCGGCTGAAGAACGCTTAGACTAAACTCAGCTATGAGTACGAAGTCGTGCTGTTGACTGCAGAGGGGTGTGAAAGCAGTAAGGTGGTTCCCTCGGACTACCGGCATCTGCAGCGATGCTGCCTTTTCACAAGGAAGGAAGTGTTAGGAAAGGTCGACCATAAAAATGTCACACCTCACCTTACCTCATGGATTCCCGTCTCTGGCGGTAAGAGTGCCCACTAATGGCTTTCAAGAGCGGACCTAATACCCAAAAATACCCTTCATAAAAAGGCTGTGGGTGGCCAGCTTCGAGCAGTTGTCCCTTGGGCTCTGTGGTCACACTCTCAGGTAGTTAAGACCAACGCTAATCAACCTTCCTTTTCAGGTTCCTCAAGAAACAACCTTCCATGATGTGGGCAGCCGGGAAGTGACAACCGCCCTCATACCCGTAACAGCACACGAGACCAAATTGGTCAAAATCAAATCCTTCCTACGCCCCCTAATACCTCTCTTATCTCCAGGACTAACTCTTCTCAAATTTTTTATCACATTGCACCGCTAATGCACACAATTTGAGCTCAAAAAACGTCATTTCTGGTCTCTTGAAACCTCGTTATAAATTACATGTTGTGTAGAATCCAATTTGAAGGCTTTGTATTGGGGAAATTCCTCCATGTATCTATTTGTAACATGTTCTTACTGACTCTTTCTGCGCTACATTTCGGTACTCTGCTTAATCCCACTTTGTGATGTTAATATTTGTATTTTGTTATAGTTTCTATTTTTTGAACCTGTATTGGAGTTTCCATGTATTCTACTGAACTGTATTATGTTGTTTGAATTGATACTTAATTATGACGTCAGCCATACCGAATTTGACACCCGGGGTGGTGAAACGTGAATGTGGACTGCAAGGATGCTATTTTGGACCAATACGGAAGATGCCTTTCAGAACTGGAAACACATTGTGTTGTGTTAAAGAACAGTGTAATATTGCTTAGGTAATTATTTCTATCATATAATTATTAATAGAACCGTTTCTTACCCAGATAAATTGCTTTCTTCTTGGGATAAATGGGAAGGGCACGTATCCAAACTTCATCGACTGTTCTTCTGAATTCAGAAACCATTCAAAATCCCCAACATATTGGAGCATTTAATGTATAGACATTATATCGAATAGGGAAACAGGCCTCATTAGGTACGACTTTAGAATCTCGCGCCACCAATTTACGCTGCGTCTCAGAAACGCGCATCCAGGATCCAAGTAGCGTCATTCACTTTAACGTACCATTTCAAGATAAAGAAGCGACTCGATTTACCCTTCGTTTTTCTGGAACCCCTGATGCTACTTTCCATGGCCTCGCAAGCGTAGGTATAGTGCTAAGTCCTAGGTCAGGACTAGCTCTCTTAGGATGGATCCCGATAGACAGTCACTTATTTGCTGTGTTACTAAGCAGTACGGAACGGATTCGGAAGGATAGGGACACTCCCCGTTGTCTCTTCGTCATATATGCTTACCCTCCCACTGACCGCAGTTCAGACGAGGTGAAAGATAAGATTTATAGAAACTTCTCTAGGCTTCTCCAAAATGTTAAGCGCTCTGATATAGTTTTAATGACTGGTGACTTAAACGCACTAGTGGGCAGACTCGGCGAAAAGGAAAGACACCTCGGTGGATCTTATGGTGTCGCAGCTAATAGAATAGATAATGGCAACTCTCTGCTGCAGCTGTGCTCAGATGACCGCCTATTCCCAACAAACACTAACCTCAGGCATAAGGTAAGACACGTTTTGACCTGGCGATCCCCGAAGCCGACCCAATGACGAACCCAAATAGATCACGTCACTATA